GAACATGGGACTGGCATTGGGAAAGAAACTGAATTCAGCTCAACAGAAAGTTGGGTTAATGCTCTCACAGTAACAAACCCCATCAGTCTGGGACTTTGAACCATCTTGTGTTGCATTTCCACTGCCCCAGGCTCTGCAGGAGCGTGACCCAAGGCTGAGCTCATGGCCTTTGCAGCACCAGTATTAATAAGCAAATATATTTCCCTGAGCTCTGCGAAGTTTGTGAAAATATTTGTTTTTCTCACCTCTCACCATATACAAAGGTTTTAATAAGCTTTAACAAACATACAAGCAAACAAACCCTTAATTAAAATAAATAATTTAAATTTCTAACCTGAAGACTTCTATGAAACTTTGACAATCCCCAAACACTCAGGTGATGATGGGAGAAAATATAACTGGGATAAAGGACAGTGCAGGAACATCCCACCACAGTGGTGGAGGACCAGTGGGGATGCTGCAATTTCCTCTCTCCTCAGTTAGGAGTGCATTTTGTCTTTTTTTTGGGTATAATTTTTGCTGTAAACACACCTTGCATGTAACTGTTCCTCTGCAGGTTCTTCAAACAGTGGGTCACACGTTTTGAGTGATGGTTTTATTCTTTTATTCAACTGTCATTGGTACTGGTTATTTGGGGTGTCCAAACCAAAATATTAAAATTGCAAGCTAAGAGAGCAGCAACACAGCACATCCTTTGTAAACAATTTATTATTATTTTCTACCTCAGTTACTTACAGGAAAAAAGTCATTAAAAAGAAAAAAAAAAAAAAAGAAAAAAGAAAAAAAAAGAAAAGCACAGATGGACTATTTACAAAAAAATGAGAAAATTCACAATAGCCGAAATGTTTGCAAATCATGCACACTAAGACAAGTTCACAAAAGCAAAGCAATTCATAGCAAAAAACCCCAAACAAAATAATAAGAAGCCATACAGATTAAAAAAAGCTATTGCCTGCAGAAAAGTCAAAAGAAAACTACCCAAGTATTACATCAAGCATCTTTAATGAAATGAACAGCACAGCCATGGATTGTAGAGCCTTTGACACTGACATTTTCAACAAGTGGATTAACAAACATTAAAATGCATTACAGTTCTACTGTAAGCATGCACCATACTTCTCACAAACTTATCCAATGGGTAGCAACAGGAACAGCAGAATTTAAAGAGAATGTGTGTTTTCCACCCAAAAGTCCAGAATCTGGTTTGTTAAGTACAGCCAAGGGAGGGAGGTTTGCAGCTCTCCTGCCACCTGGGTGCAGAGGAAGTGATGCAGCTTAAGCAGGGAAAGCTTGGCCACAATTTAGGAAATTTGCCCATGATTTGCAAGCAAAGTTTGGAAGGAGAAGCAGCTGCAGGGAGTGTGCAGGACCATCGCTGGTCAGAGTTAGATCAAAGAATCAGAGAAACCCAGAAGGGTTTGGGTTGGAAGGGACCTTAAAGCTCACCCAGTGCCACCCTGCCACGGGCAGGGGCAGCTGCCACTGCCCCAGGCTGCTCCAAGCCCGCTGGCTCTGGGAGCAGGGCAGGAACTGCTGTGGGGGCTGCAGCTGCCTGAGCCCCTCTCTTGGTGGCATCTCACCATGGCAGCCCCCAAAGAGCCCCAGGGAATGGGGCAGGCGTGGGGCTGTGACACACGGGGACAGGGGATGCCCAGGAGGGTGGGATTTGTGCCACTGCTGGGCACCATGTTAAGAAGTGCCAGTCACTCTCTTTGGGGCTGTCTGTGAGACCAAATCAACCCAATCATCCTCCTTGCTGCGTTGGTGAAACGGTTTCTAAAAAGTTTGTGAGAAGTCATGCCTTCGGAACGCCCCTGACCCCATCCCTGTGAGTTACATTCCAAGTGGGCATTAAAAACTCATAACAAAGCAGAGAAAAAAAAAAGATTAAAAAAAAATAAAGCAAACTCAAAGCAGTGAGGATATGGAGCCTTAAAAAAAAATAAAAATAAAATAAAAAGTCCAGTCAATCAAACCAGCCAGTAAGAGCAGCAATTTTTCAGTGGACATTGATATTAAACATGGACCACCCAGGCTTTCTCTGTCTCTCTCTCATTAGCACTGTAGTAAACCCCGATTAATTTGTTATGCATCTTTAAGAACTAGTTGATAAAAATTATGTCTTGTGAAATCGGCAAATAGTCTGCAAAGTGAAATAAGAACAGAAATTAATAGATTAAACTGAAAAGATAAGTCCCAGAAATTAAAAAAAAAGGAAGAAATACAGAAAGGGAGTGATTGCAATTAAAATAAAATAAAAAAAGAGGCAATGTACTGCATGAGGAAGGGCTGGGAGGAATAATGGCACAGGAGGAGAGAGAGCAGTTGCCAAAGGGTTGTGTGCCCTGCCCCTGGAGCCAGGGGCTGTCCCAAGACCTGGGCAATGTTGGGGATGTGGGAGAGGACGTGGGACAGCCCCTGAGGGACAAGGGCATGGGATGCAAATAGGTGGGTGGTGGCAGAACCCCTGGGAGCAGCCCAGAGTGTGACTGAAGGTTTTCTGTATCTGAGGCTGCAGCAGCAGTGCAGCCAGGGCAGGGCAGGGAAGCTCCTGCAGAACCAACCACAGCACTGAGGTTTTAAACCTGCCACCCTCCTCCTGCCCTGCTCCTGAAAGGCTCCCTGGAGCCAAGCTGTGCCCTGTGGCACTGGGCTCTCTGCCCCAAGCACTGCAGCAGGGGGGACACCCCATCCTGCTGCTGCACCATCCCCACACCACGCGCTCCGACGGGCTGTGGTTCTGGAGACAGAGCCCCACACCACCTGAGGAACTCCCAACAGCTCTGGAAAGCTTCTGCTTGCTGCTAAGGAGTAACTGACCCGAGTGGGAGGGGAGCAGGGGCAGAGCCTGCCAAGCACTCCTCCCTCCCAGCCACAGCACTGAGGTTTTAAACCTGACACCCTCCTCCTGCCCTGCTCCTGAAAGGCTCCCTGGAGCCAAGCTGTGCCCTGTGGCACTGGGCTCTCTGCCCCAAGCACTGCAGCAGGGGGGACACCCCATCCTGCTGCTGCACCATCCCCACACCACGCGCTCCGACGGGCTGTGGTTCTGGAGACAGAGCCCCACACCACCTGAGGAACTCCCAACAGCTCTGGAAAGCTTCTGCTTGCTGCTAAGGAGTAACTGACCCGAGTGGGAGGGGAGCAGGGGCAGAGCCTTGGGGCAGGGGAACTCAACAAGGTGAGACAGGGCCCTGAGCATCTCCTGCAGTCACCCGCAGCTTTCTGCTGGGGACAACCCACCTGGATTTATTTTCCATATTCAATCTCTGCAGGAGACTGAAAATAACCAGGCAGCAACTGGAAGTCCAGCTTTGATAAAAACAGGCCCTTAAAAAAATCCATCTAAGAAGGGGTCGAGTCAAAGGGTGCCTTTGCTGTCAGTGAGCAAACACGGTTGCTTTAGACATGTTTGTAATTAAACTCATCTAACCTCAGCAGATTTCTGACATTAAACCTATCAAAGGAGTCTCTCCTTCGTATGAATCAGCTGGCACATGGAATTGTGAGGAGTCAGAGCCTGAGACAGCACACAAACAGCTGCTGAAGCCTCCTCCTCACTCCAGCTCCTGGCTGCAATCCTGCCACACCTGACTGGTTCCAGCAGAACCAGAGGTGCTGTCACCTGCATCTGGGGACAGCTGCCTTGTCCCCACCAGCACCGTGTCCCCCCAGCAGCTCTGCTGTCTGCCTGCCACCCCAGCTGTTCCAGACCTGGCCTGGTCCAGGTGGGAAGATGTTCCACAGGTGGGAAGAGGCGGCTCAGCCTCCAGAAGAGCCGTGCATTTGTGAACTCAAGTAAACAAACCCTCACAGGGCTGTTCCCCTCGGTCCTGGGAGAAACAGCCGCACAATAACCCCATCCCAAGGACACTGCTCATCCTGCAGATGACAACAATCTGTATTTTTCCACAGCAGGGTCTCATCCTAACGACCCAGGGCTGCACACACAGCTCCACGTCTGTCCCAGCGTGCTGCAGGTGTAGCCAAGCACTGTCCACGTCCTCACCCACCCTAGAAACCTTCCTGAGAGGTGCTGGTTTCCCTCCTGCCCTCCCTGCTCACTGCAGGGTGCTGTCCCTGTCACCCCAAGCTCCCACCCCTGCGCTGTGAGCCCTGAGGAGCACGTGGCCCTTGTGACAGGCTGCTCAGGAATTCAGGGTGGCCAGGTGGGGCTTCAGCCACAGACCCAGCACAGCCACTGCTCCTCTTGTCCCAGCTGCCTGGGAAAGCCCTGGGGTGGCAGGAAACCCCGAGCCCTGTGTGGTGCCACCCCACTGTGGGAAGGGCACCTTGGGATGGGCTTTGTGGGATGCCCCATCCCTGGAAGTGCCCAAGGCCAGGCTGGCCAGGGCTCCCAGCAGCCTGCCCTGGGCAAGGTGCCCCTGCTCACTGCAGACCTTTGGAGGTCCCTTCCAATCCTGTCCTGTGCTTCCACCACCTGATTTCCCCAGAGCTGGGCCCAGCACGAGGGCAGGGGACAGAGCTGGCCCCAAGGCCAGCACCACACGCTGCCCACTGCCCCTGGGAGGGACCCCAGAGCTGGGGCCCCAGGGCAGCAGGGACGCCGCAGGGTGGGACGTGCACTCAGCAGTGAGGTTCACTTACCACAGGCCAGCACGGGGGCTCCCTGTGTGTGTGTCTGTGTGTAGCTCTACGGAAGGAAAAACCCATCAAAGGCAGGGGAACAGCTCTCCAGTGATCTCTCTTGCTTTTATGGTTTTTTTTAATTTAAGAAGTTTGTTTTCAAATAACCAGTACCAATTTATACGTTAGGGAAAAAAAGGTGTTGAAAATATGTCGCTATAAAGGTCTATTTTAAAATAGTAAAAAAAAAATAAATAAAAATTTGATGTTGTGTGAGATGCTCCCTGCAGACTTGCCTGTCTCAGCTTGCAGCTACAGACTTCAAAAAAAAAAAAAAGAAAAAACCCAAAAAAACAAAAGAAAAAGAAGGAAAGAGGGGAAATAAAGCAAATCTGCAAATGAAATGTACGTACCTGGGAACTGATAACTGTAACTTGGGGCAAATCCAGGATATCCTCGGCCATATGTTGCAACAAAATTCGGGTAACCTTGATCACAGAAATGTAAAAAAAATAAAAAGAGAGAGAAGTTTGAGGATTAATGAAGGGGTCTTTTGAAGTTTGTTTTTTTTTTTGTTGGCTTGTTTTTTAACACAATGCACAATGACAGGGAGGATGGGTGAGACCCAATTTTACGGAGGGTATTAAAAAATCAGATTTATTCTGCTCATGCCAAACTGCAGAGAGGTTTCATCATTATCCTGAATAGAAACATCTCGAGCTGGCCCAGCTCCGAGCAGGAGCCCTGTCACTCTGGTAATTAACATGCACTTTGGTGTCTGGAGCCCAAGGACTGTGCATACTTGTTAGCTGGAAGAGTAAATGCCAAATGCTAAGGCTAAACACATAACACGGGTTTGCTCTGACATTTGGAGAGCTTACAATGAATGTACTTTGCTTCAGAGCTATTGACAGTTGGAGATTAAGGTAGTAGTAATTCTTTATCCCGGGAGTGTGAAGGACAACAGTTAACACATCAAAGAGTTGGAGGCAGCAGCAGCAGCGAGCCAGGGAGTCAAAGAGCTTTTAATTTTTCAGGAAAGTAAAAGGAAGCTGCCCGAGGAGCTTCTGAAGGCCCCTTCTGAGGCAGAGCAGAGACCTCGGCAGCTTTGGGAGGTTTATTAGGGGAAAAGCTCACTTGAGAGCATTTCGTGAATAAAAACACCTCAGTGAAGGCACAAAGTGGCAGCGCTGCTGGCTTCACTCTCCTGTGTGTGAATGAGTGTGCTGGATGTGCCACTGACCCTGGCTGGCAGCAGCCCTGGGCTCACACACTGTGCCACCCCTGTTTCTACTCCCCCACAGCCATTCTCTCTGCTCCCACAGTGGCTATTTGCTCTGAGCTGGATGGCCAATGTCCCAAGGTGTCCTTTACACTCAGGGGGTTTCCTAAAATTCTAACCTCACGTTGATCCTCAGCATTTCCTCACTCAGTTTTCTTAAAAACGGGCACCACGCCGTGCACTGAGCAGTGCAGAACGAGCCCCAGCATCAGCCCAGGCCTCTCCAGAGCCAGAACCCACCAGAAGTTCTCTCCTGCTGTCTGAAGCCAGTGGGGATCTTGGCAGCAGCTGGGCTGGAGCTGAGCACAGGCTCAGAGTGAATGTCTCTTCTGGGGGGCTCCTACCCTGCTTTTATTTATCCTGTAACACACCCATCCATCACTCAGCTGCTTTCCTGCTGCAGCAAGCCCCTCCATTTCCCATCAGATTTATACATACGTGCAGCGTACCATAAATCATCATCTAAAAGTGGAAGATAAAAATGCTTGGATGAATTCTGATGATGGGATTAGGCAGTGGCAGCGCGGGCAGCCCGGCCAGCCCGGCGCTCAGGATGTGTACACACTGCTTAGCCCTCCTCTCACAGCTCAACAGCTGGATTCCCTCAGAAATTAATCACCTCTGTCATTAAGTCAGATCTTTCAGAGTTAAGCTTTACAAACCTTTTTTCCTTTCTTTTTTTTTTAAGCAACACTATTGATAAATGGATTGTTTGCTAAGTAAGTAGCGCCATCAACACCACTGAAAAATCATCCACTGCAGCCCCTCTCTCCTTGCCACGAGGAGGAATTCAGTTTGCCCTGTTTCAGGCAGTTCTGAAGCAGATGTGCCAGCTCACAACTCAGGGCACAGGGGCTGACATTCTGAGCTCTGCAGGTGTGGCACCTGTGGCTCAGCCAGACCAGCACGGTGGGGATGGCAGTGCCCACGGTGCTTTGATGCCTCCCCTTCTGCTGCCTGCCCTGGAATGGTGCTGGCTCTGACCCCAGGGCAGCCCTGCTGTCCCTGGCCAAACCTGGCTGTGCCTGGCAGCCCCAGCAGCAGCCAAGCTGCCCGGGGGCTCTGCTGGCACCGCCAGCACTCAGCGCGCTCAAAGTCAGGCAGATGAAATCATAAATTTATAATACAACATTACTTCAATTTTCCTCTTCATTTACTGCTGCAGTGCCCAGCTCTGCTCTAACGACTCGAAGCCTGATCCTCGTGGGGACACTGCCTGGCTGAATATCAATGGTGTTTAACACCACGCCTACGTGGATGCTTCATCAGGCCAAAGGATGCCCATGCTGACCTACCCAACACTCCCATTAGGTGCCATCCTCATCCTGAACTGGGCACAGAGAAGCTGATTTGCCTGGGTAGTCCTGGGGAGAGACCAATTCCTTGTAAGTAAACCAAAAATCCAAGTTTTGACTGGATTTGCTCCTTCAGAGCAAGACTGTCCTGTCCACGGAAGCAGAACTCAAACCAGCAGTCAAACACTGCTTCTACCCAGCCCCTCTCCAGGCTGTGGAAATGTCTTTGCATTTTAAAATTTGCTAATGGGGTGGACAAAAGCTCATGGTCAATATGTGGGAACGCTGAGCACACAGGAGCCAGGGGACCCGTGCAAAATTAATCCAAATGCTCCAGAAAATGCAAGGAAGCTGTTGTCTCCAAATGTTGCTCTGAGTTGCAGCTGCTACTCCATTGAACGGTGTCTGGTGGAAAAAGGAATGACTTTCTTTGAAGGGCACAAGCTCCACTAATGCATGAGCTCAGCCTACCTAGACTGAGCGTGAGCAGAACACAGAGCCCTGCCAGAGCCCTTCCCAAATCCCTCCCAAATCCCACCACACATCCCTCCAGCACTGCGGGGTGTCAGCTTGGGGGCCGAGCGCCTCTATCTCTGGAGGGGTTTGCAAGCTAAAATGAGCCTGATTTTAGCATTGAATACCAGGATGATGCCCATCTCCAGGAGAAATGCCAGCCCCAGCTCAAGGCAGGCAGTGCAGGGTCACCTCCAGAGCTGTGTGTCACCATTGTGGTGACTGCAGTGTCCCAGAGAGCAGCTTCAGATGAGAGGGGAGACAAAAACCATCTCCTCTTAATGCTGCTCCTCTGTTGCTCTCTTCTTTCCAAGTTTCCAGGCACAGACCTGAACAGAGCACAAAAAGCTTTGGGGCAGTGCTGTGACACCCACATGCCCTTGGGTGACAGAGCTCCTGGTCTGCACCCCAGGCCAGGTGCCAGTGTGAGGCTCCAGGCAAAAAGAGAGTTTCTTGGTCACCAAAGTGCTCCCACTCAGCCACAGAGGGGGGCACACAGGGCCTGTTTGTGGGCATCCAAGGGGCTGGGGAGCAGCTCTTCCTGCTGGCTGGGCTGACAGGGAGGGGAGAGGAACTGACTGCTCCACTCTTCATGCAGAGGCTCATTAAAGCCCTGCTCTCCCTGAGACCAGCGTGTCCCAGCAGCAGCAGAGCCCCAGACAGCCCAGCAGCCCTCCTGGCACGAGGCTCAGCCTGCCCCTGCTCTCCCAGTCAAAAAATCCTTTCAGAACACTTTAATTTTGCTCCAATCAACCAAATCATCACAGAAGCGGCTGCCTGCGCACCTTTAGACCCCGGCTGCTGCAGGCTCCTTGGGGAGGCTGTGATTAATGAAAAAGACCAACTTCCTTAATAGCTTTGGAGGGAGTCGCTCCCCACTCCTTCCTTGGGCTTGTCTCGCGCCTTCGTTCCTCTGATTCCCTCCTCTGCCCAGGAACAGCAGCTGGAGAAGGTGACCTTGAGCAAGGATTTCTGGAAACAGGTATGAAAGCTCTTCCAGAGCAGCCCCAGTTGCTCTGGCTCAGTCCAGCTGGGCACGGAACAGAAGACACAGGGCAGACCTGAGCTGGCCTTGTGAGTCCCCACGGAACACTCAGCAGCAGCAGTGATGGAACTCTGTGTCTGATCATTTGATGGGTTAATTATGCCCCTCTTCCTGCAGGGATGGGCCCTGCAGCCTTTGAAACCGGGGCTTTCTGACGGCCATGAGCAGCTCTGCTCTCCCGTGCTGCCATCTCCTTGTTTAGCACTTAATTATTTAACACGGTGCCACGGTAGCAAGCAGGAACTTGGAAGATGAAAAACCAGCTCGAGTGGATAATGAAGCATCTGGCCTTCACCGTGGATCAATCACCAATGCTCAGCCAGTCCCCCTGATGTGAAATTCAGGGAGAGCAGTGCGGGACTGGCTGGGGCTGCACTGGCCAGGGTGACCCTGTGCAGCAGGACCAACAGGTGCCCCAGCTCCTCCTCTGTGCAGTCCCACTCTCTGAGGGCTGCTTCCCTTAATTCTCACAGCTTGAGAGGATCCTTTCCCAGAGAGACAGCCCCAGTGGGAACGGACTCACACAGCACCCAGGGGCTGAATTTTCCCTTCAGGACACCGGGGTGGATCCAGCTCCATCCCCTCTGTGCCCAGCTCCAAGGAAAAGGGCTGAGGCACGTGGTGCAGGATGATGCCATGGATCTGTCTGGCTTCCCAGGGTGAGCTGCACCCTCTCCTCCTGCAGCCAGCAGGACAGGCCAGCACGGTGGCACACACACCTCCCTCCACACCCCACCTCAGGCAGCACAGGAGGAACAGCAGAAATCAAACACATTGGCTCAGGCACGCTGGGAACACACAGGTAACGAAATCACCGACTGACTAGAGCAAGATAAATATTTAAAGCATAAAATGTGATTTCCAAACACTCTGGGGCAGGGTGGTGGCGGAGTGTGGGGACAGCAAAACAGATGATCAGCTGCAATAACCTGATTACACATCCCAGAATGGATCGCTCCAGCCACACCAACAGAAGCACTATTAATTCTGAGATAAAGCAAACATGGCAGAAGTTCTTCCTATCAAATCAAGCAGTGCCTCGGGTCAGACACCTCAGTGTAACAGCCTGATCCTTGCAGGAGCTGGGTCCTCTGTCCTGACACCACCCCGGGGGCTCTGGGTCCATCTCAGCCAGCCCTGAATCTGCCCAGCAGAGCTCGGGGCAGCCCAGAGCCCAAGGCTGGGCTTGGTACTCGGTTCCTGGGATCGTCTAAACCCTGGATAGGAAAATTGGGGTGTCCCCCCATCCTGAAGGGGGACACTGGCCTGGGAAAGGCTCACTGCTGCCTGGGGACAGCTCCACATTGCCCTCCCACTCCCACATGCTTCATGGACACAGGAGCTGAAACTCAGGGGAAGTCCAGGGATACAAAGGGAGCAGAAAGTTTAAAATATATGGTGTTTTACAAAAAAAAACAAAACCAGTGGCAATGGATTAGCAGCATTTTGGCCGAGAACAGAGTATCTGGGGTTGTCACATTATTTAGAAAGAATTATCTAGGCAGAAACAAATGAGAACCAATTATAACTAAATAGACCCCGTGCACAAATAGGAATTTGCCATTAAATATCATTTATCCCATTTAATTAGTATTTTCTGGACACAATACTCAGGACTAAAATACCATTCCATCTCCTTGAAACTTGTAATTATTGTTGTGACCTGTCCTGTTACGCATCCCCCCACTTCCTCCATCCATGCCATTTAAGAACCAGCAAGATTTTCAATTATCTATGCTGAACTGTCAAAGCTACCTTTAAAAGAAGGGGAATAATGTGTGACTCAATTCCTCTAAAAAAGGGGAGAGATCATTTTTAGTCAGAATGAACACACTGCATCTTTCATCATTCTATTTTTGCGAGTAAGAGTAAAACAGGCTATTTAAAACATCCATTTAAATGCAAATTTTTTATATTCCAGGCTGGGGGGGGGGAGTTAATCATTTACCACAGACAGGATTATTTTCTTCACTCCACCCCTGCTGAAGTTTCAGCCTGGCAGCCACGGAGGTGCAGGGATGTGCTCAGCCCTGTTTCAGGGTTGGGATGAGGGAGACAGGGCAGTGAGTGGTGGCTGTGCACTTACCCAACATTCCCATCCCCAGCATGAAGGCGTCCATGGTGTACGGCAAGCCACGTGCCCTTCCTCTCGTCCCTGGTGGAAACATCACTTCTTTAGGTTGTGCTTTCTTACATTCTACCTATTGAGCAGAAACATGTACAGATGAGATGCAAATGAATTCCATGTAAATGTCAAATGCAGAACTGATCTACTTAAGGGGGGGAGGTTTATTTTTAGCATCTGCCTCCCCACACCTCCTCCCGCTCAAAGGTGAACTTCCAGAATAGCGTAACCAGACTGGAAAGAGCAAACGTGTGTGCCTCTTTAACCACCCAAAGATGACAGAAGTGCTGATTTAAGAAGTTCTGTGCTCCTGAAAGGGAAGCCAGCACTAGTGGGAGCGGGATGAATGGAGGGAGGGCCCCGCTGCAATCGATAACAGAGAACGACTCCCAGTGATCATTACAAAAAGCTCCTTTTAAAATAGGAATAAAGAATCAATATTTCTACCCAGCAGAAAATTTCTGTAAACCCTATTAATAAAGGATCTGCATTCTTTCACTTTCAGTTACTCCTGCTGCCTTGGCATGTTGCTCAGTGCCACTGGAACCTCGTGGTGATTCTACCAATGCCCTGTGAGACAGCAGCCCAGCCCTGCTGCCAGGGGGACATCCAGGGCCCCCAGCCAGCCTTTCTCCCAGGAAAAAGGAGAAGTTCAGCACTTCTCCATGGTTTCTTGCTCAGGCACTGTCATCTCACCCCCAGCAGACAGCTCCTGTGCTCTCCTTGGCACTGGGGCTACAGCTGCCCCAGTCAGATGGTTTGGGGTTAACTGGAGCTGTCCCAGCCCCTTTCTGTGGCTCCACAGCTCAGCCCACGCTCTGGGCAGGAGGGTGATGTGCACTGGTGCAGCCCAGCACTGCAGGGGCTGCACGGGGAATCCACAGGTTTGGGCTTTGTGCCTCTAACTTTGTTCTGATTTTTAACCAGTGTCATTTAACAAGAGTTTGGCCAGATGATTCCTCTGGACAGATGAAGGGGGGAGCACCACAAGTGTGTCATGTCACTTCATTCACAACCACATCTTTTGGGAGGGCCACTGCTCCCAGTGTCATGGCAGCACTGGTCACACCTCGGGTGCTGCACAGTCAGGATGATAAAACCCATGGACAATTAACAGGGAAATGAACTTTGGATTAGCACCCCTAGAAACAAGAACCTGGTAATTAGCTTTTGCAGCCATAACCCAGCCCACTGCTGCTCTCTGTGAGCCTGGCAGCACTTCTGATTTCCACAGCACACAGGGGTACAAAGGGAATGGCAGTGAGCTGCAGAGGGGCTTTAACCAGGATTAAACAGGAAGCAAAAGTCACCAGCAGGAAAGAAAAATAATTCCTAAGCCTCTGTAAACAAATACACCCCATGTGGAGGGCAGGAAGATGCTCTGTTATCCAGGCAGACTCTCTCTCCACGGAGGGATGCCATGTGGGGTACAGGACTGGGAGTGGGGCTCTGCTGTGCTGGGAGGGAGAGTGCCTGACCCCAGCCCTGCCAGCTCGTCCCCAGGGACTGTCACACTGCCAGGCACCAGGGCCACGCCATGAGGTGTTCTGGGAAGCTGCCCATGCACCATCCCATCAGCAAACTGGGGCAATGTGGAACAGGAATTCATTGAAAGAAACAGGAGTGAGACAGGAGTGAATGGATACACTGGGGGCCTGCATGGTGCCTCTTCATCAACAGCAAAAGCAGAAAGAAAAGGGGCCTGGCTGCTCTTCTGCCAGAATCCAGCCCTGTCCTTACAGGGAAGGGGATGGAGAAGGCCAGAACCATTCCAAAGCCACATTTACCTCAAGGAGAAAACCCTGGAGAGATGTCACACATGTGACAGGACATGCAATGGGGCTTCTCCAAGAGGAAATGTATATGGATTTATGAATCAGGACTCAGCTCCATACTGAATTGCCCCTGAGAGTGCCTGATAAGGGTCTTTGTATACACATCTGGACCTCACTCAAACTTTCAATTCAGAGTTTCTGGGCATCTTAATAATTTCCAGATTTTTCCACCTCCTCGTACGAGGATGTGTTACACTTCCAGCAGCCCAACAAAGAAAGGTTTAACTCTAAGGCTAAAAAAAAAAAATAAAAGAAAAAAAAGGCAGGGAAACTAAAATTCACTATTTTTGTTTAGTCTAGTTTGGAGAATTAACCTTGCACTGGGGTACTCCTGGGTCAAGCAGAGCAGTCTCAGCCACAGGAACCCAGGAGGGCTGAGCTGGGGAGTGAAAAGCCTCTTATACCCAGCACAACAAAACAGGCTGTCAGCCCTCAGCCCAGGATGTCTCCCAAACCCCTGCTTAACAGCTTTCCAGGGAAACCAGGGCTGTTTTGAGGAGAGCAGAATGTGAGTACCCACAATGCACAAGCCCCCATTGAGGCAGGCAAGGACAAGGAGACTTTGTTGTGCCAGCCACGTGTGATCTGCAGCCTCGGGGGCTCCCATCACCTTGGGGACAACGTGTCACTCACACCATGGCCAGCCACACCAGGCACCAGCACAGGCGTTTTCAGCTTATTTTAAAAACCCCACTGAGTTGTGGGTCTGTTGAACCACCACATTACTGATCAGTGGCTGGGGTTTGGAATTAAAGGGTCAGGAACAGGGTGCCCAGAGAAGCTGTGGCTGCCCCATCCCTGCAAGTGCCCAAGGCCCACAAAACCTGCAAAATCCCACCCTGAGAGGCAGGAAGGGTCACAGGTGCTGGGCAGTGGCACAGCCTGTTCTAGAACAGCCAACATTTCTGTCGAGAGCCTGACAATGGACCCTGAGTGCAGGCTCAGCTCATCACCCCTCTCAGCACTGTGCCAGGATGGGAGAGACTCCACCACAGTGGGACTGAGGGAAAGGAATCACTCATCGCATCTCTTTTCCAGCTACTTTTTACTTTTCCTTAAAAAACAGGTGTCTCTTTGCAAAGCAAAGCTCCTGTCAAAAGAACAACAGCCTGAGGACAGCTCGTTTGGGTTTATTGTCCCCCTGCAATGTTTGGAGCATCTCTGGCCTCCCACGTAAATTCCAACTTCCATTTATTAAATACCTCGCTGGCATTTTCTTTTCACTGTCCTACTGCTCGTTTAATATTACATTTGACATTCTAAGCTTTATGGATGGCAACAGAAGCAGAATGGATGAGCTAAAAATAGCCTGCCAGGGAGGCTGGAGCTGGAAGCAGCCCTGCTGCCCTGAGCCTGCCCTGAGCCTGGGGACAGGCCAGGAGAGCAGGAGGAGGGAGCTGGGGGCAGCCCAGGGGCTGTGCATGGCCCAGCTGAGCCTGCTGGGCAGGGGACAGGTGTGGGACAGGGACAGGATAGGGACACGGGCAGGGATGGGACAGGGATGGGGACAGGGATGGGGACAGGGATGGGGACAGGGACACGGGCAGGGATGGGGATGAGGACAGGGTGTCCCAGTCCCAGCCCACCAAGCCACTGCAAACCCCGTGGCCTCGGGCTGGGGCTGTGAGAGGCAGTCCCCTCCCCGGCTCAGGGACACAGGGACATGATCCCCGTGTGGCACGGCCCCAGCAGTGTCCCCAGGCTGCTGTGTCAGCCCCAGCTGTGTCACAGGCACACCCTGTCCCCCAGGGCTGGCATTAGCTGCACACACAGCAGCAGGGCAGTGACTCAGTCCCCAACAGAACCACGTCTCATCCTCCCTCGTGGGCTGCTTTCAACATCACTGCTGAAGGAGTGGCATGAAGGGACACTGCGAGATGCTGGCACCTGGAGGGGGCACCGAGCGGGCACAGGAGTGGGAAGGGGATATTTTAATTACCCAACAACAAACACCAACACTCAAAACTGTTTCTCTTGCTCTTTCTGACGTTCCTGGAGTGTTTTCAGCCTGTCCCATCCTCCCTGCTACCTTCCTGGGCAGCCTTCCAGCTGGGGAGGAATCCTCCCACGAGCTCTGTGCTATTCCTCCCCTCGAGGAGATGCCAAGAGCCAGGTGAGGCTTTTCCAGCCCAGAGGTGCAGACGCAGGGATGAGGCACCAACACTGTCCCTGCCTGGGCTCACCAGCACCTGCAGCACCCTGGGGCAGTCCTGAGCCCTGCCCCAGAGAAAAGCCTGTTGTGGGGAATAACTAAACCTGTGGGGAATAACCAAACCTGTGGGGAATAACTAAACCTGTGGGGAATAACCAAACATGTGGGGAATAACTAAACCTGTGGGGAATAACCAAACCTGTGGGGAATAACCAAACCTGGGGAGAATAACCAAACCTGGGGAGTGTGCCCTCCTGCTGTGGACAGGAAAACCCTGGAGGGGAGCTCTTCCCTCCCACCTGGCACTCCCTAAATTCACATCCTGAGTGTTTCTCAGTTGTTTCTAACTTGTCATCGGGTCTGTTGTGTGGGGGTGGTTGGGGTTTGTTCTGTTCCTTTGTTTTAAGGCAGATTAACAGCATTTAGAAGCCATTTTAAGGGAATGAGCCTCCCCCCACCCAGAGGCACTCAGGTGGGGACAGGCAGGAGACCCCAGGGCTGGGGGCAACAGGACAGGCAGAGCCCACAGCATCCATGTGGAGTGGAGCAAGAGACTTCCCCAGGACCAGGAGCACTGCCCCAGCCCTGCCCACCACCCCACCCCACACCTGGCCAAGGGGACCCTCACTTTTATTTCAGATGCATATTGCAGGGAGCAACAATATGAGGAATATTATTTCAGTGCCCTGGGAAAAATTAGCAAGTCAAATATTGAATCAGGCCTCCAGCATATGCCAAGGAGATTGCTTTGATCTTATCCACACTAAAAGCTCTATTATTAAATTTAAAGTCTGTGAACACATATCAGACCGATATACAATGCATATCTGAATACACATTTGAGAAGCAAAGGATGTTTTGACAAAGGGAAAAAGAATATTTTAGCCCAAAATATCAAAGTTACTGCAGCAATTGAAATACAAATGCCCCTTTTCATCTGGCTCAGGGCAACCCACAAGCTGGGAGCTGGGGAGGAACTTCAGCTGGGGCCAGAGCAGGGGCTGGGCCAGCTGCTCCAGAGCCCCCTGCACCCACACCACGGAGCACCAACACTCACCATTTTATTATTGATTTCGTGGAAATGAATTTCACAGACTTTCTCCACCACGTCTTCATTTTCAAAAGTTACGAAGCCAAATCCTATTTAATGAAGATACAAAAAGGGGAGGGGGTAAGGAAAACATTAGTTAAGTGTAACAATTTCATTCCAATAAAGCATTATTTAGCCATTGGGACTTTGGAAAACTTCCATAACAACACACATGTGTGCCTACACCTGCTGCCTATGGAGCTGCTCCTGAGCTCATTGCAGCCTAATGGAGGGAAGAAGCATTGTCTCAGGGAAAATTAATATGGTTCTGTTCCAGCTCTTCCATAGGATTTAATGGAGAATTAAAACCTCCTTATGGATTTTTTGATCCATCCTGCAGAATTTAATGGATAGTTACACCCCAGTTACATGATGGCTCGGAAACTACAATAAGGCTGTATTTTCTTTTACACCTTATAGGTTTTTAAGAGCAATCTCTACAAAACCCAATTATATTTCTATGGAACCATATTGATTTCATCTCTTGTTTAATTCCACGGGACTTCTCCATTAGAGCTGACTCATTACACGACCCAAAAACCATAAAAATCTGGGAAGACAGAAGATGATTCCTCATTTACCCCTGGCAAGGAGAAAAACCCCAGTGCTTCCCAAACACAGCAGCAGCCTGTGTTATGTGTGCTCTGCCTGGGCAGGGTCAGCCCTGCTCCGGAGGTGGTTATTTGTCCCTTTCTTCCTGAATTACTTCCTCTAATACCTCATCAGGACATCCTGAGGCCTCCAGGAACCCATTAAGCTTAAAGCCTCTGATCTAATGGTTCCTCTCCTCTGCACTGCTGCTTCAAAGAGCCGAGGCTTTGGGCTGGCTCGGGCTGTTTGATGCCTGCTGCCTGCCTGTGGCTGTGCACAGCCTGCTCTGCTGGGCTGCACTGCCTGCCCACCCTGCTCCTGCCTGAACAAAACACCTCAGGCTAATGACAAAAACCCAGCTCATGCCTGGAGAAGGCTCCATCATCGACACTAATTATGCTGATGAAACCTAAGGACTCTGCCAAGAGGATGAACTCCATCCCCACACTGGTGAGCACTGCCCCAGTGCAGCCCTGGATGGAGAGAAAAGTGAATTTCCAGGTGAGCAGCTCCTCTGGCAGTGCTCAGTGCCTGCAGCCGTGGGGAATGCTCCCAATGCACTTCAGACCCTCTCACTGGGGAAAGGTGGCCAGCAATGGGGGAAAGGTGGCCAGCAATGGGGGAAAGGTGGCCAGGAATGGGGGAAAGGTGGCCAGGAACGGGGGGAAAGGTGGCCAGGAATGGGAGGAATTGGGGAAAGGTGGCCAGGAACGGGGGAAAGGTTGCCAGGAATGGGGGAAAGGTGGCCAGGAATGGTTTCCAGCCCTGCTCCAAGGCATAACCCAGCAGCAGGCTCACCACACTGCTCTGCACCTAGAGCAGGCAGCAGCTTGGATTTATTTTTTTACATAACTCACATCTTTCATTTGCCTTCTAAATTACTCCATTTAAATCTACCTTAAACAGACCTGCAGTTAAACCGGAATTTTTGTGGCTGAGTGCCTGGACGTGGCATCCCAGGAATCCCAGAGCTGGGAGCCCAGCGTGGCTGGGCCAGAGGACGAGATGGCCGGGCTGGGGCCACAAGTCATTAATTGTCTGAGCACCGGCAACATCTTCATCATTAGCAGCTCATTAGCGAGTGCTGCAGTTGAGGATTCTTCTTTCAACTTGTGTTAGGTGTCGGTGCCAGGACGGAGGGGAGAGGGAATTTAGGAGATTAGCCCTAATATGAGCACCAGGAGGAAGCCGCTGCAGTCATTACGTGTCTGGACTCGGAAACCAATCTCCCACTCGCATCCCACTCCATATGGCTCAAGCACAGGTTTATCAAGAAATTATTTGTCTGATCAAATCAGATGGCCACCCAGCTTTCTGCATTTCCAGATTTTACAACAGTAGAACAACCATGTGTAGGTGTTGGCAGGCATTTGCAGGGCTCTGAAAGGTCTGTGGCACTTGGTCAGGCTGGCCTGGAGAGGAAAACGAGAGGAGAAGCAGAGGGAGGTGACCTCCGCAATGCCCAACACCTCCAGCCCAGTGGGAGCAACCAGAGGATCTGCAGCTGCAGGCACACATCACTTCAGCTCCTCCCTGGAGGGTGGAAGGGGCCTGGAGCAACTTGGGACAGTGGAAGGTGTCCCTGCCTGGCTCCTTCCAACCCAAACCATCCTGTGATTCTCTTCTTGTTCCACTTTTTGGGTATCAAATCCCAACTTTTAATAACTGCACCCACACAAAGATCCCCCTGCACACATGCTCTTATTAGTTCCCATAATGAATACACGCTCATATTTAAATTACCAAAACTCTCAGAACCCTTCCTGGGCTAAATAGACAATTATTTCTTCTGAGAGGTACTAAGAGTCAACAAAAAACTGGTTCTCAGAAAGTGTATGGAAAAGATTAACCCAAAACAAAGGCGGCTGTTGAAAACGGTGACAGAAATAGGATTCTGGTTGTCAAGGAGCACACGTTTTAAAATGAAATTATACTGCATCCTTCTGAATGAAGCTATTATTGGAAGCTAACAAGCTCTATTTAAGAGATAAGCATTTAACAGAGTCAAACGGTTGGGTTTTTTATTCAAATGAATAAAACTGAATATTCATTTGAATAATCTTTTCTGTAAAAGAAAAGACAAAGAAGAGGGAGAAAAATAAAGTAAGAGGCAAACAGATGCCCCAAAGAGAGGCTCTGAGCCAAGCACCAGCACTAAAGGAAGCTGAGACATGTATCCATGACCTTCAGGTGAAAAACCCTCCTCTGGTATCTACTGGGAATGAGGAGTTATTCCACTCCATTCATCTCCTGAAAAAGGAGTCAGCCCACCCCATTCATCTGCTGGTTCATGGGCACCAAAACGATGCCAGCCCAGACACCTGGCATCCAACAGAGCAGGACACGACCTCCAACACACCATGACACCAGGAAAAAGAGGATTTCAGGAAGGATTTCTTCCTGGGAAGGGCTGAAGGGGCTGCCCAGGGAGGTTTGGAGTGCCCATCCCTGGAGGTGTCCAAGGAAGGGCTGGAGGTGGCACTGAGTGCTCTGGGCTGGGGACAGGGTGGGCATTGGGCACAGCTGGGACTCAGTGATCTTGGAAGTCTTTTCCAAGCCCAGTGATTCTGGGATTCTGTGGAAATCCTCCTCTGCTCCCAAGCCCTGTTCAGCCCCCAGAGCTGCCCAGGCCTGGGGGAAGGTGGCTCCACAGGGTCAGCTCAGCAGGTTCTGCCATGGTATTCCAGAAATAAGACAAACTCTGCTCCGAGAAAGGGAATGAAACCATAAACAGACTAAAATACCACACAAGAATAGTCAGATGTCCCTGATGTCCCCGATGTCCCTGATGTCCCCGATGTCCCTGGGGTCCCCGATGTCCCTGGGGTCCCCGATGTCCCTGGGGTCCCCGATGTCCCTGGTCCCCCCAGCCCTGCCGTGGGAGCTGCCCCAGGAGTGGCTGTGCTGCCAGATGGGGATATCCAGGCTGACACCTCCTAGCAGAGCCCCCAGGAAGCAGCAGCTCAGGCTGTGCTCCCCCTCTGTGCCAGGGCTCTGCTCACCCGCCCCTGCTCTGCTCCTCAGATCTGAGCTGCTTAAGCTCTGAAAGGCAGAAAAGTCCAGTCCTGCTGTGGTATTATTTATGCACCTGCTTTCTTGTTTATACCCATAGTTTTGGCAGCTGGTCCTGTGAAAGGTAATAAAATGCCTTTCAAAAGTAAAAAAAAAAAAATTAAAAATGAAGAAATGTGACCAGACAAGCCAGGCATAATAACATTAAAGCCCGTGTCAATTAATTTTTCCTCTTCTTGATAAACGAGCCCCATTCCATCCATTAATAATGAGGGAAGAAACAAGAAAAGTTGACACTAGTTTAATTTATTTTCTCAACTTGCCTGGTCATATTTCTCCCTGTTGCAAAGCTTTCCGGTGCTGCTGGGAATTGCAAGTGGCTCCCACACAGTCGATGCATAGATTGGTGTGAATCAATACCATTCTACTTTATTCACACATCCCTTGTAATCAGAGAGGAAAAAGTTCCTTAGTAAGCTCCCAGCCTGTCAAGCTGTCTTATAAAAATAATAATAATAATAATAATAAACTGGCAGGTGGGGTAGAGAGGGGGATGTGAAACCAAATCCTGTGATCACTGTCACCAAATCTTGCCTTTGTAGATGAACACAGGGAGCAGAGGGGACAGGACATTTTAATTACCCAGAAGACAGTGAACCGTGGATACTTTTAACTTCTGTCTGTGAAGGTACAACAAGTCACTACCCCCAGAGTCTGGGAATGGGGACCTGGGGGTTTAATCCTGTGTCAGGGAAAAGCCATTTATTCCTCAGCCCCAGAACCCAGCAGCCAGGACTTGAAAACTCAGCCCTGACTTTGCCACCTCCTTATGTTGTGCCTTTGGAGAAGTCACTTAAATATTCCCTGTGCTCTGCATCCCCCTCACTTCCTTGTCCCTTCCTCCGAGTTCTCATACTGCAGCTCAGCTTGTTAGAGCCAAAACCTGTCTAGGACAAAAGCTGACAAAAGCTGCTATTTCCTATTATTCCAATTTCCTGTGCTGCAAACACAGAAGGAGAGGTTGTGGCTTCCACAGGAGCAACGCTGCACGTTCAGGGAACACAGCCATCACCTGAGACACGCCTCAGATTTCACCTGCTCATCTCCAAGGAGGGTTTGCTGGGGAGACTGACCACACCTGAAGGCACCACTGCTCCAAGGTGAACAGGATTCACCTCACCCTTGAGATAGCCAGTCCAGGAGAGGGATCACCAGCAGATGGAAGGGGCATATGAGGTTAAACCCTGTGCTCTAGGATGGAAAATACCCTCACTTACCTGTAGCACGTGCTCTGCAGCCCTGCTGCTGGGACTGACACCCACCACGACTGACCTGCCCCACATCCACGGGCTGTTAATGCACCCCCCGGGTATGGGGCACAGGCAGGCTCTCCTGGCAGACACAGGCAGCTACTGAAGGTGTCAGTAAATTCTCCATTACGATTCTC